AATTAATACCTATAAGCAAAATGTGATTGATGTTGACCTGTTTGCTCCAAAACCATGGACTAAAACGAGCGCAGGGCCACTGTTGCCACAAAACTGGTATCGGATGGAATAGCCCTTCCAGTTCCACGTACTGCAGGACCAAAAACAAAAATATAAACAGTTGAAGATGGAAAGTGCAAAATCAGGCAATACACCAAATGATATCATTAAGAAATCTTAACTAACAAAATAGTCATAGTCTTGATAACATTCACAATCTTCCCAAATATTGATTATTTCGAAACATTCAATTGATTCGCCACAGTTGTTCTGCAAGTACTTTCCAAGCATAGTGGGAATGTAATTTTCTTAACAGAAACGTATGTGCTCGAGTTATAGAAAGGTAATAGCTTTATGATTAATCATAAAGTTTTTTTCATCTACTACACCAACTAGCATTACTATATATTCAATCTGTCACTAGTCCCACTCCACTCTTTATAGTAAGGAAGAAGTACATCGATCGATCAATCAATCAACTAAGTTTAAATCCCAACTAGTTGGAGTTCACTATATTTAGAGACTGATGGAGCATATAAATACTAGTATTCAACCGAGCACATCATTTCAAAAACGGAACCAACCTCTATGAGTAAAAATAACCAAAAATATCAACAATTATCAAATTCCGAACCCATATTTCATAATTCATACGTACAATGGATTCAGTGGAAAGAGCCTAATGGTTGAACTCGTCAAACTTAAATCTTAGATTAGCCTTTGGTTACAAGAATCCCCTATATATATTCCCCTCTATAGGGACAGGAGCGGAGCTACAAGCTTGTCTATGGGTTTGGCTCAAAACCTATATTTGTACTCAAACATCCACTTAATACACAACAACAACAACATACCCAGTGTAACTCCGCAAGTGAGATTGTGGGGTTTGTGGAGAATAGTGTATACGCAGACCTTTCCCCTACCTTGGAACACGTAGAGAACCTATGTAGATAACATCCACTTAATATGTTAAATAATCTATCAACAACCTAGTAAGCTGTCTTTTCTAGAATTCAAAACTCATAAACTCAAAATCCCAGCTCCGCATTAGGGGCTCATTTCATATCAAAGATAAGTAACCTACTGTAAAACTCCCCACATTACAACTCTCAATCTTTCTTCTTACTTCCAAGTCCATTGGGCAACAAAAGCTAGTCTTTTTTCACCTATTGTTTGGGGGGGGGGGGGGGTATGAGCAAGAATACAAAAAGATTAGATTTTTACCTGGTTTTGACATCAATGGAAACTTGGGTTTTGTTATCTTTAGAGGTTTCATCAATTGAACAATCATTTACAAGTGAATTTTGATATATATCCACAAGATTTTGGATTCTTGATAGAAAAGAACAACTTTTTAGGAACATATTTTTTGGTACAAAAAGGGATTGAACTAATAGAGATTTTCTTTGTTTATGCTTTGTGAAAATGAAACAGGGAAATCTAATTTAGATATGGTGATTGTTGAAGAACTTGTAATTGCCATAAATAATCATAGAAATCAAAACACACAGAAAGAATGAGAGTGTTGAAGCTAAGTTGCAAATAAAGCGAAGAAAAATCTAATTTTTTTCCAACTGTTTGGACAGCATCAAGCCACATATATACACTCATGTCCCTATATTTTCTTGAAATTAATAGTATTGTGTTTAGTGAAGGTGAGTAGATAGTCGAGTGTTGATTCAATATCACTTTTTAATATTGTCGTTGTTATTCTCGTATTATCTTATTTCTTCAATTTTAGCATCATTTTATTTTTTGGAAAAATAGTATCTTTATCTTCCCAAGATATGATTAAAGTTATGTATAGGTTACATTTTTATATTTCACTCGTGAAATTACAACGAATATAATGATTTAAATAATTTTTTATTTGATTTAGCTCATTTGATTTATACATAGTTATTATAGTAGAAACTTTTATGTAAAGTCTATATACTAGTTAAATAATTAAACTCATAATTTTTTCAATATTAGAATATGTATCTAATTCATTTTAATTTAGTAAGTAAATATAATTTTAAATACTCTAAATAGTTAAACATTTTATTCATTATATTTTTTAAAAAAAATTAGATTATATTATACATCGTACAAGATTGTACGAATAATTGTTAAAAAGTGTGAGTAGTGATAATCGACAATGATCAATGATTTATAATGATTATGTCAATGTGCAATATAATTGCACGTTAAAAGTAATTGTGTCGGACAAATAGATAAAGTGGTGATAATTGTTACATTTGCAAAAAAAATTAAGTAAAAAGTTTTTCATTTTCATGATTCGAATTCAAATTACTAATTAAATAATAATATTTTTCTATTTGACTTTCAAGAAAAAATCCTCAACTCTCTACATTATGCTTAGCCTCTTTGGAAAAAAAATATGAAATTATATGAAAACTACAAATTTAGGGGCTTTCAGGCCATTGCCTTTGAATGTTCAAAGTAGTATGTGATATCCACATAGCATCTTTCTTTTTCATCTATAACCTGAAACACCAAAAAAAAATAAAAAATGGTTAGGCAATAAATATATATATTAATAAAAAATGTTAAAATATTTATTGATATTAGCTAATTGTCACTGAATTCATATCGCTATAATTTTGAAGACATTTACAAAAAAATGTTAATTGCTGCTAAAAATATACCTGTGTTCTTGTAGTATATAAACCCCTTGCAAAGACACCAGAAGGTGTGACATCTTCTTCTAATTCATATACATATGGCTCTTTTCTAGGTTCAAAAGTTCCCAACATCACTTGAGACTTATCAACTGCCATAACAATGAAATGTTTTTAAATAAATAAAAGGAAAAATTACGCGATATCATAAATATGTAGACTGTATTTATAATATAAACAACTATAGTTTCAAAAATTATAAAGTGGGGGCTATATCTTTAAGATTTGTAGCAAATGCACAATACACATATACATTGATATAGCTCTTTTGCATGTTTTTAACTAATACAATATATGTGTTGATAGTAATTGTAGCTAGCTTACGTTTAAATTCAGCTCAAATCAATTATACATCACCCTCAATAATGTTGCTACTCACACATATCTCTCTCGAAAATCTTTTAATCATGATATTCATATTCATGATGTACTCAATATAGAACACTTAACACAAACAACAACAAGAAAAAAAAAACATGTGAATTAGAGAGTACACAAAATACAAGTTGAAGGGTAAAAAACACATCTAAAGTAGTTCATTTTTTTCGAGCTTCATATCTGGAACTATCATATATGCGAGTTTTCATACGATATTGATTTCAAGTAGGAGAAGTGAACAATTGATAGTTGGTGATAGTTCAGATATGAAGCTCGAAAAAATGAACTACTTTAGATGTGTTTTTTACCCTTCACTTGTATTTTGTGTACTCTCTAATTCACATGTTTTTTTTTTCTTGTTGTTGTTGTGTTAAGTGTTCTATATTGAGTACATCATGAATATGAATATCATGATTAAAAGATTTTCGAGAGAGATATGTGTGAGTAGCAACATTATTGAGGGTGATGTATAATTGATTTGAGCTGAATTTAAACGTAGCTAGCTACAATTACTATCAACACATATTGTATTAGTTAAAACATGCAAAAGAGCTATATCAATGTATATGTGTATTGTGCATTTGCTACAAATCTTAAGATATAGCCCCCACTTTATAATTTTTTGAAAACTATAGTTGTTTATATTATAAATACAGTCTACATATTTATGATATCGCGTAATTTTTCCTTTTATTTATTTAAAAACATTTCATTGTTATGGCAGTTGATAAGTCTCAAGTGATGTTGGGAACTTTTGAACCTAGAAAAGAGCCATATGTATATGAATTAGAAGAAGATGTCACACCTTCTGGTGTCTTTGCAAGGGGTTTATATACTACAAAGAACACAGGTATATTTTTAGCAGCAATTAAACATTTTTTTTGTAAATGTCTTCAAAATTTATAGCGATATGAATTCAGTGACAATTAGGCTAATATCAATAAATATTTTAACATTTTTTATTAAATATATATATTTATTGCCGCTAACCATTTTTTATTTTTTTTTGGTGTTTCAGGTTATAGATGAAAAAGAAAGATGCTATGTGGATATCACATACTACTTTGACATTCAAAGGCAATGGCCTGAAAGCCCCTAAATTTGTAGTTTTCATATAATTTCATATTTTTTTTCCAAAGAGGCTAAGCATAATGTAGAGAGTTGAGGATTTTTTCTTGAAAGTCAAATAGAAAAATATTATTATTTAATTAGTAATATTGAATTCGAATCATGAAAATGAAAAAACTTTTACTTAATTTTTTTTGCAAATGTAACAATTATCACCACTTTATCTATTTGTCCGACACAATTACTTTTAACGTGCAATTATATTGCACATTGACATAATCATTATAAATCATTGATCATTGTCGATTATCACTACTCACACTTTTTTAACAATTATTCGTACAATCTTGTACGATGTATAATATAATCTAATTTTTTTTTAAAAAAATATAATGAATAAAATGTTTAACTATTTAGAGTATTTTAAAAATTATATTTACTTACTAAATTAAAATGAATTAGATACATATTCTAATATTGAAAAAATTATGAGTTTAATTATTTAACTAGTATATAGACTTTACATAAAGTTTCTACTAAATAACTATGTATAAATCAAATGAGCTAAATCAAATAAAAAATTATTTAAATCATTATATTCGTTGTAATTTCACGAGTGAAATATAAAAATGTAACCTATACATAACTTTAATCATATCTTGGGAAGATAAAGATACTATTTTTCCAAAAAATAAAATGATGCTAAAATTGAAGAAATAAGATAATACGAGAATAACAACGACAATATTAAAAAGTGATATTGAATCAACACTCGACTATCTACTCACCTTCACTAAACACAATACTATTAATTTCAAGAAAATATAGGGACATGAGTGTATATATGTGGCTTGATGCTGTCCAAACAGTTTGGAAAAAAATTAGATTTTTTCTTCGCTTTATTTGCAACTTAGCTTCAACACTCTCATTCTTTCTGTGTGTTTTGATTTCTATGATTATTATGGCAATTACAAGTTCTTCAACAATCACCATATCTAAATTAGATTTCCCTGTTTCATTTTCACAAAGCATAAACAAGAAAATCTCTATTAGTTCAATCCCTTTTTGTACCAAAAAATATGTTCCTAAAAAGTTGTTCTTTTCTATCAAAGAATCCAAAATCTTGTGGATATATATCAAATTCACTTGTAAATGATTGTTCAATTGATGAAACCTCTAAAGATAACAAAACCCAAGTTTCCATTGATGTCAAAACCAGGTAAAAATCTAATCTTTTTGTATTCTTGCTCATACCCCCCCCCCCCCCCCAAACAATAGGTGAAAAAAGACTAGCTTTTGTTGCCCAATGGACTTGGAAGTAAGAAGAAAGATTGAGAGTTGTAATGTGGGGAGTTTTACAGTAGGTTACTTTATCTTTGATATGAAATGAGCCCCTAATGCGGAGCTGGGATTTTGAGTTTATGAGTTTTGAATTCTAGAAAAGACAGCTTACTAGGTTGTTGATAGATTATTTATACATATTAAGTGGATGTTATCTACATAGGTTCTCTACGTGTTCCAAGGTAGGGGAAAGGTCTGCGTATACACTATTCTCCACAAAACCCCACAATCTCACTTGCGGAGTTACACTGGGTATGTTGTTGTTGTTGGTGTATTAAGTGGATGTTTGAGTACAAATATAGGTTTTGAGCCAAACCATAGACAAGCTTGTAGCTCCGCTCCTGTCCCTATAGAGGGGAATATATATAGGGGATTCTTGTAACCAAAGGCTAATCTAAGATTTAAGTTTGACGAGTTCAACCATTAGGCTCTTTCCACTGAATCCATTGTACGTATGAATTATGAAATATGGGTTCGGAATTTGATAATTGTTGATATTTTGGTTATTTTTACTCATAGAGGTTGGTTTCCGTTTTGAAATGATGTGCTCGGTTGAATACTAGTATTTATATGCTCCATCAGTCTCTAAATATAGTGAACTCCAACTAGTTGGGATTTAAACTTAGTTGATTGATTGATCGATCGATGTACTTCTTCCTTACTAAAAGAGTGGAGTGGGACTAGTGACAGATTGAATATATAGTAATGCTAGTTGGTGTAGTAGATGAAAAAACTTTATGATTAATCATAAAGCTATTACCTTTCTATAACTCGAGCACATACGTTTCTGTTAAGAAAATTACATTCCCACTATGCTTGGAAAGTACTTGCAGAACAAGCTGTGGCGAATCAATTGAATGTTTCGAAATAATCAATATTTGGGAAGATTGTGAATGTTATCAAGACTATGA